TGAATCTTCTTTTTTTTTTGAGACTGAGAGTTGCTCTGTTGCCCTGCTGGGTGACAGTCTAGTTTAAATTGATACTATTTAATTTCAGTATTAAAAACTTTACTCCTACTTAGCTCTGTTTTCTTCCTCTTTTTTACTGTTATTGTAATGCAAATTATATCTATACATTGTAAGTGCATATAGTTTTATAATTATTGCTTTATGCAGTTTCTTTTTAAGTTATGCAGGACAAGAAAAAAGTTAAGAACAAAAAGTACCTTTATACTAAATTTTATGTATATCTATGTAGTTGATTTTACTTATTTTTAAAATTTCTTCATGTGGATTCGAGCTGTTGTACAGTGTCCTTTCATTTCAACCCAAATAACTGTTGTTTTTCATGTATCTGATGTCTTAAGTACCCCCCCTTTTTTTTGATGGATAGTTTTGTTACATGTGAATTCTTGGTTGATTGTCTTTTTAATTTCAGAACTTTGAATATGTTATCCTTTTCCCACCCTGCCCCACTCTGGTTTTCATGGTTTCTCATGAGAAATCAGATGTTTACCTTTTTGAGGATCCCTTATGCACAATGAGTGGCTTCTCCATTGTTGCTTTAAAAACTTTCCCTTTGTCTTGTCTTGCGGCAGTTTGGTTATCGTGTGTTAGATTTGGATCTCTTTAAGTTTATCCTGTTTGGAGGTGCTTGTTAAATAGATAGATTGTTTTATGTCAGATTTGTGAAGTTTTTAGCCATTATTATTCATATATCTTTTTTGATAATTTTTCAATATGGGAGATGCCTGAGGCAACAATAACAACTAGGACAAATAATCTGATCTAAAAAGTCCTTTAAAAAGTACCATATGTCCTTTTCTTTTGTCTGTTTGCCAGATACTTCTATTATGTGAGTATCTTGGTACATTGGTTTTGTATGATGATCTCTTAGGCTCTGTTCATGTTTTTGTTGTTTGTTTTTGTTACTTAGATAGGATATAATATCAATTGATTCCTCTACAAATTTGTTGATTCCTTCTTGTCCCAGCTCAGATCTCTTGTTGAACTCCTCCTAATGAATTTGTAATTTCAGTTATTGTACTTTTCATCTCTGGAATTTCTATATGGTTCTTTTTAATACTTTTTCTTGTCTTTGTTATTCTCTATTTGGTGAGACATTGTTCTTATTAATTCTTCAGAAATAGTTTTCTTTAGATCTTTCAACATATTTATATTAGTTGACTTGAAGTCTTCATTGAGTTAGGCCAATGTATGGGTTTCCTTAAAAATAGTTTCTGTTGACTCATTTTTATTTGCTTTGTATGGGCCATATTTTCTTGTTTCTCTGTCTCATAATTTCTTGTTGAAACTGGATATTTTAAATAATATATTGTGGCAACTCTGGAAACCATATTCTTTGCCCTCCCCAGAATTTTTGAAGTTGCTGTTTATTGTTTTGTTGGTTATTTTTGTCTGGTGACTTTCCCGAATGAATTCTTTAAAGTCTTTGTTCTTTGTTGTATGTGGCCACTGAATTCTCTGGATGATTAGCTTAGCGGTCCGCTAATGATTGAACAGAGGTTTCCTTAAATGTGTGGAACCAGTAAGTCTCCCAGCCTCTGCTGACTGGCTCTGTGTTTTTAGGGCATGCTTCCCAGTATTCTAAAAGCTGTTTGACACCTCTGTCTTCCTTTTTCCTTCTGGCTTGTTGAGTGCGTCAGAGTCAGCCAGGGGACATTAGAGCCTTCTGGGATCTTTCTTGGGCCTGTGCATGTGCAAAGCCTTGCACATATGCATGACCTCCCAGTTTCCCAAGAGTATGCCAGTGTTTTCAAAGTTTGCTGTGGACATCCTGATTTCTAGCCTTCCCCTCCCCCCCATTTTTGGTCAGCTTCTTTGCCCCAGTTGTTACTGCTGTCTCAGGTATCTGCTGTATTAAACAGTTGTCACTGGTTAGTTTTGATCATTGCCTCAGGGAAAAGGCCTCTAATGTTGAACAAGCTCTAAGTCAGGTCAAATTAAAGACAAGTCCTGCAAATGGGCCTACAGGGAAGTGCCAGATAGGTGGAATGATAAGTTCTTTGGGAATGAGGACTTTTAGGGAGTGTTTGACTTGTTCAGCTCTTTCTAGTGGCTGCCAGGCTGCTGGTTTTCACACTTAACCATGATGATGAGACCGCTGGTTTTCAGATGTTGATTTAGAGATATAGGCACAACAGAACAATGAAAAATCTTGCTGTTCTTACCAAGATTCAGCCATTTTTCTTGAAGAAATACTCAGATTGTTATAAGCCACCTTTGTTCAATTTACAAGGTTTTTTTTTCTTATGATAGTGCGTTCTCATGAGAATTTACGAAGGTATTAAAAAGTTGATTGGACAATTTTTGCCAGTGTTCTCTTTGCTTCTTTGAAGCAGATTTTCAAGGGTCCTTACTCTGCCATTTTAAAGAGCTCCTCTCTTGTTTTATGATCACAATACTTTATGTCTTTGAAAGCACTAATGACATATTTTTAAAACTTTTCCTTTCTCTTCAAAATCTCTTCTGTCTTCCAAGTTGGGATTTTAAAGCATGTGTTTTGTTGGTTTCTCTTTTTCATGCTAGAAGCTCTGAGTATATGGATACAGTTTATTGACTGAGATTGCTGTGATTAAGTATTTGCTTCTAGGAAATTATTTAAAATTTCTATATAAAATTTTCTAGGAAGGAACTAATTTGAACTAAATTTTATTATAAAATAAATTCTAATTAGGTTGAAGACTTTAATATGGAAATTTAAATTCAGAAAAAGGTAGAGGAAGATGGTGGTTATTTGTCAAACCAGTAAAGAAATTTATTTTAAATGGAAATCCAGAGATTTAAAATAAAACAATTTGGTGGCTTCAGAGGGTTATCATTAGTTATATAGTCAATGTCCTTGAATATATAAAGCTCATCCTGTTATAAAGATTTGTGTGAATCAGTAGTTCCCAAGAGAGACATTTTATATTTTTGTGCTCAGAGCTAGCAAACAAAAACCAGTCTTTTCATTCCTAAGGAATGCTTTGTTGGTGTTAGACTGTCTCTTTAGGTGGTAACCTTGATAGGAGCTGTTATAGCAGCATTAATGAGCAGAGAACAAGGGAGCTAGTGAGACAGGAGTGTGAAAGCCGAGGGAGTTCTAAGTGAGGATGCACATACCAATAATAATTATGTTTATAGTGTTCTCATACCTAATTGTTCATGCCTGCCAGGTTGTGGGTAATGTGGCCACAGTGAAGAATGTCTTACCACTGAGAAAGAATCCATAGACTTGTACATGGTTGCCATTTATAATGGTGAATACTCTCCCAGGAATGGAAGAAATACTTGCCCTCTTCCAGTAATTTCAGGAACAACCAGACTAGAGGTATATCTTGGCTCCAACTTGCAAACTTGCAGGCGTGCTCACATCAGAGGGTGTGGTTGTGACACAATAAAGTAGTGCCTTAGTGAGGGCATGCCTGGCAACCTATGTCATGATATTATTTCTGAGTTGGTCAAACTATTGGAGATCTTTGTTACTTTTAAAAAGGGAAGGTAATGGAAACATCCTAAGAAACACAATTATGTAAGGCATCTTTCCAGTTCTTTAGGAACTGCTGGATTTGAAAGTGAGTTATATTTTACTTATATCTGGTCCTGAGATGGCAGTTGGCATTTATTCAGTGTCAGTTTTAACTAATGGGTAGTGGCTGCCTGGAATAGTTTTGAGAAGGATTCTGAGGGAACATCTGGACTTGGTGGAAAGAAGGCTTGAAAAGATTGTTGGTGTCTCCTACGCAATGGAGAGGTGCAGTGTATCAGGCTGGTTCATCCCCTTCATTTACTGATGTGTAATTTTGGCCTCCCTGTTACTTAGAGCATAAGCTCCAGAGGGTGAGAACTCACTAGCTCGGTGCTGGGCACATAATGGGCACTCAAGTATGTTTGAGGGAATGAACAAATGAACAAACACCAGAGTTTGTGTGAATACTGCAGTTTTCCAGAGTAAGGAGTTAGGTTTCAGGTGTCTAACATAGTGTTGTAACTCTCCTGAGTGAGCATCCGCATGGCATATATAGTGCTTGGTACAAATACAAAAATAATACAGCTCCCATCTCTGCCCCTAAGTAGCTTCCATTCTGCGTGAGAAGAAAAGACAAACATATTTGAAATGATTGGAGCTGGCAGGATAGGATGGTGTGATAAAAGCACTAAAATGTCCCTAAAATTGAATGCACAGATTGCTTGGGAATCTCAACCTTTATACTGACTCTAATATACCTGTGTTTTGCTTGAGAAAGTCTCTCTTTTCTTAACTTTTTCTACTAGGTTAGATTGCATTCTCCCACCTTTTCATTTCATTTTTGATGTCACTAGGATGGAATATTTAGACTGGGTGAGGAATTTGGCATTAATTTAAATGCCCAGGTGAAATGATTCATTAATAGAAAGTAAATGTAATGTAGACTTTTTTAAGCTGAAGATTATCCAGTCACAGCATTTTTTTCTGGAGAAATTATTTATAGCATTTTTGGATTAAGCATGAGTCACAGCAGTTAGCACAAGCCTTTGTAGTGTACTATTAGTGCATTTTGAAAAGTTTTATCCTAAGTAACTGAGAGTCTGTGGTAAGAAAGAAATAGGAGAAACACACCTTTTCATAATATATACATTTGTGTAGAGTAGTCAGTTTAATATAATGTCTGGGAGCAGCAGCTCTGGATTGCTACTCTGAGGGCTAGAATCTCCACCCCACACCTGTGTCACCTCAAGGAGATTAAACCAGATCTTTCAGTTAGACCTCTAGGCCCTTGGTAAGTGCCCAGTTATTGTTGGCTATTGTTCATGTTATTGATTTAGTCACTGTGTTTTGTTATTAGGTAGGTCTGTGTCATTGATTTTTTTTTTTTTTTTTTTTTTTAGGGGGAGTGGTGGAGATCAACTTCACATTAGGGTTTTAATATTAATGGCTATGGAGCAGTGATGGTCAATAGTTTGTTTATCTTTTTGCTTTCATACAGGTTGAATGTAATTTTTACGAAATTTGATGAAGTCCAGAAATCTGGAAACATGATACAATCTGCAAATGGTGAGTAGAAAAAGTAACTGCTATTTTTGCCTTTTAGTTTACATCCATAACATTTATGTTATATGTGAACAGCTGAATTAGGTAATTGAGTAAGAGTTTCTAGGTCTTAAAACTTAACTTCCATTCACCTACTTTTCCAGGCCAGAAACAATGGACTTTCTTTCATAACCTGTACTGAATTTATTAACTAATCCTGTTGGGTTTACTTTTAAAACTGCAACCTGAATCCCAGTAATTCTCATCACTGCTGTTGTCTTCCTAACTCAAGCTGTCGTGGGATTTTACCTGGGCTCTTGTGGTTCTCTCCAGAACAGTATCTTTTCTTCTACTGTTTCCCCATGCCTAAGGTCTGTTTGTCATATAGCAACTAGAGTAATCTTTTTAGAACATAAGTCAGGTGATGTTAATCTTCTTCCAAATCCTCCAAAGGTTTCCCGTCACATCTAGGCTACAATTCAGTGACTCACCACTGCCCACCACCATTCTGATGTCATTTGAATTATTCTTTGTGAAAGTTCTCTTTGCTCTAGCCACATTGACCTCCTTGCTAAGTTTGAACATTCTGAGCATCTTCTGCTTCAGGACCTCTGTGCTTATGATTCCTTCTGCTTGAAGCATTCACCTTCTGGGTATCATTATGGCCTCCTCCCTCATTCCATGAAGCTCTCACTTCATAAAGTATCACTGAATTACTGAGGCCACTGGAAAAGCACATCCAGGGTTCTAAGGGAAAGCTCTGTGCCCCCCTCACCCTGCTTGAGTTTTCTTCCTAGCATGTGTTACCAGAAAAATATGTGTTTACTCATGAGAGTGGGAACTTTACTTTATTCCCTTTATTGTTCTTTTTGTTTTTTCCCAATGAGCATCAGTTCAATGCCTTGAAGAGTCCCTTGTGATAGGTGTGCAGTAAGTATTGTTGAATAAAGTAATGATTGTGTCCAGTTCCTGTATTCCTTTCACTACGTTGTGATGATACTTGAGGACTAGTGGGTAATCCTTGTGATTCCAATAGGAGAGGAAAAGATAGGAATGAATTACTCCTGTATGAAGGAAAAAAACACCAAAAAGTTAATTGCTGAGAATAACTTTTTCTAACCTTGGATACCTCATTGTATCATAGCTAAGCTATTTTAGAATTTTTAAGTATCTTAGTTGCAGCCGGTACTGAATTCATTAACTAATCCTGTTGGATTTACTTTTAAAACTGCATCCCGAGTCCCAGTAATTCTCTTCATCACTGTCTTCCTAGTACAAGCCTTCACATGTTGAATATCTTGAGACTGTAAAGTCTGAGGGCTTTTCCTCAAAGTAACTTGGGATATAAAGGCTGAGCAGGTAGCAGAATGCAAACCTTTTGACTCATACTCTGCTGTGTACCTATTATTATTCCAAAGAAATTTTTCTTTGAACAGCATGTTTTCTATATAAAATGCTTAAAGTGATCTAAAAAATGCTTTCATTAATCTCTTTTTCATATATTGTAAAAAATGTAAAAAAGAATAGAAAATGAGTATCATAATTTAGCTATTACCATCAAAAATCATTTTTCACTACATTTTTAATATTTCATCATCTTATAACTGTATAATTTGTATATAATTTTAACCATGGTGTAATTTTCTCTACTTTACCCAGTACATTAGTACATACTTTTATATGTACTTCTAAAAACATACCATTGACAGAGCTGGGCCAGAATTCTGGCATCTGAGTAGTGCACTTGTGATGAGTGGGGTTGCTGGGTGTCCACAGGCAGGTCTTCACAGGCAGTTAATTGCTGGACATATGATTTTACTTTTGTGTGGGTGTATTTGTGTAGTTGATGTGGCTTCTCAGTTTAAAAATTGTTGGCACTAGGACACAACATGCTGGGCAAGTAAGTAAAAGCAGTGGCAGGAAAGTGAGTTTGTGCTTTGTAAGCCAGTATTACAGCTATGAAACAGTATCTCATTATAGTGCTGGCACTGGGGAGGAAGACTGCATCCACGTTGGGGATCTTGCCTAAAAGATTGTACATATACTCTATGGGTTCCAGTGATGTGACACATATGATTTTATCCTCAGGAGTGCCAAAACTGTGTGGCATTGGGTGTCTCACAAGTAGCCTTTTATTATAAATGGCTAGGTGCAAATATTGCCCCCAGATTCCCTTTATATCTGTGTGCATGTGCATGCACATGGGGTCAGGCTTGAGGCTGGAAACAGTTATTTTAGACGTCTGTGTTAAAAATAGCCAATGGTAAGGAAGCCTTAACAGAATTTTCTTGGAGGCCTATAATTTCAGCTTTTTGCTTTATATTTGTAGTATTACTGTTTTAATTGTTAGAGCCAAAATATTTAAGGAAGCTAATATAAAGCCATGTGTGTAAAATTTTAGAATTTCTAACCTGAGTGATTTTCATCTCTTTACATAACTTTGAGAGACCAGTAAATGTTCAATTGCTTTCAAAAGACAAACCACCTAATTTGCTTCATTGAATGTTTCTGTCATTGAACATTGAGATGGCATAGAGAAACTGCAGTAGTGATAGAATAAAACCTGTCTCCCTCTTTATCTAATTTTCTCTGTCTTGTCCCTCCCTCCCTCCCTCCCTCCCTCCCTCCCTCCCTCCCTCCCTCCCTCCCTTCTTTCCTTCCTCCTGCCCTTTCTTTTTTCTTCCCCTCCCCTCCCCTCCCCTCCCCTCCCCCTCCTCCTTCTTTTCTTTTTTCTTTTTCTTTCTTTTTCTCTCTCTCTCTCTCTCTCTTCCTCTTTCCTTTTCCTTTCTTGTCTTTTCTTTCTTCTCCTCCTCCTCTTTCTTCATTTTTTTAAACACAATTCTCAGTGTAATTCTTTGATCTCTTCTGAACTTCAAACCTTTGACTGTTCTACTTTCTCTAAATCCATCCATCCTCTCCTTTCTTCGTTTCATACCTTACACAGCTTAGATTACAGCCTCTCTGAACTTAATAGTTGTAGGAGTTTTTTGTAGCCTCTGAGATTTTCTACGGAAATGGTTTTGTCATCTGCAAATAGGAACAGTTTTATCTCTTTCAGATAGGTATATTTTTAATTGCTTTTTCTTGCCTTATTGCACTGGCTAGAACTTCTAGTACTATGTAAAATAAAAGTGGTGAGACAAAACATCTTTGTTTGGTTCCCATCTTAGGTGCTAAGTATGGTGTTAGCTGTAGGATTTTTGCAGATGTTCTTTATCAAAATGAGGTAGTTTTCTATCGATTTCTATTTATCTTATCTGAGTGTTTTTTTTTCTTTTTTTCCCAGAGCAGGAATGAAAGTTTATTTTAAAAGGCTCACTGCAATCTCTGCCTCCCAGGTAGAACAGGAAAGAAAGGAAGGTGTGCTTGGGAGAGAGCCAGGAGGGCACAGTTGAAAGGTCAAAAAAGAAAGTCAAGCATCCTTATCTGAGTTTTATCACAAGTAGGTGTTAGGCCTTTTGTGAAGTTATCAGTTTATGTAAAAAATTGAGATACATTCTCCTTCTAGCTGCAGTACATTTAAAAATTAAAAAAAAAAATATATATATATATATAATTCACTATTGATATTTCACTTTTTAAAGTATATGCTTTAATTTTTTTTTTAATATTCACAAAGTGTGCAACTATTACCACTATTTAAATCTAAAATATTTCATCACCCCCACCTCCCATTCCTTTTAGCATTTACTCCCTATTCCCTTGTCCTTCCAGTTTCTGGCATCCTATTTTTCGTCTGTATGGATTTGCCTATTCAGGACATTTTGTATAACTGGAATGATATAATATTTGGCCTTTGTATCTGATGGCTTTCATTTAGCATAATGTTTTCAAGATTCATTCAGAGAGTAGCATGTATCAGAAGTTCATTTCTTTTTATGGCTGAACAAGATTCCATTGTGGAAGTAGATTGCATTTTCTTTATCCATCTGTCTGTTGATGGACATTTGGGATTGTTCCACTTTGTGGCTATTGTGAAGAATGATTCTGTGAACATTGATGTGAAAGATTTCATGTGGATATGTATTTTCATTTCTCTTGGCTGTACACCTTGCAGTAGAATTGCTGGGTATACGTTTAACTTTTTGAATAACTGCTCAAACACAGTAAACATACAGTTTTCCAATTTTGCAGCACTGTTTTACATTGCTAACAGCAGCCTGTGAGAGTTTGCAGTTTCTCCACATCCTCACCAACGGTTGTTATTGTCTCTTTTTCATTATAGTCACAGTAGTGGGTGTAAAGTGGTATCTCATTGTGGTATTGATTTGCTTTACCCTGATAATGGTATTGAACATCTTTTTCATGGGCTTATTACCCATTTATATACCTTCTTTGGAGAAGTGTCTATTCAAATAAATCTTTTGTCGATTTTCTAAATGGGTTAATTGCCTATTTATTGTTGAGTTATAAGAGGTTTTTAGATGTGCTACATACCTGACTTAACAGATGTGATTTATTTGCAAATATTTTCTACCATTCTGTGAGTTTTCTTTTCACTTTCTTGATAGTGTCACTTGAGAGATAAAGTGGTAAATTTTGATGAAGTCCAATGTATCTGTTTTCTTTTGTCATACCTAGGAAACTATTGCATATTTTTGGCCAGGTGCAGTGGCTCACAACTGTAATCTCAACACTTTGTGAGGCTGAGGTGGGCAGATTATCTAAGGTCAGGAGTTTGAGACCAGCCTGACCAACATAGTGAAACTCCATCTCTACAAAAATACAAATTAGCTGGGTGTGGTGGTGCACGCCTGTAGTCCCAGCTGCTGGGTGGTGGGTGTGGGCGGTGGCCCTGAGGTAGGAGGATGGTGGAGTTGGGGGGAGGGGCAGTGGCCCTGAGGTGGGAGAATTGCTTGAACTTGGGAGGTGAAGGTTTCAGTGAGCCGAGATTGTGCCACTGCACTCCAGCCTTGGTGACAGATAGAGACTCTGCCTTAGAAAAAACAAAAAGAAGAAACTATTGTCTATTTTTACCATGGTAAAAAGAAAGAAAAGAGACCAGCACAGTGCCTCATGCCTGT